ATTATATTTATCTATGCTAATTCTTACTCGCGAGGCCCGCCTATTTCTAAAATTACATTTTAATTTTAAGGATTAAAACATTTGCGGTCAAAAGGTATCCCGTAACCTTAAATCGCTAAATTCGTTAAATTAAATACCCCCAAATTGTTGCAGTCACCTTGCTTAAATTAAAGTTATCTTGCTTATAATTAGAAGCAGTCACGGACCATAACATATTTGAAGATTGTATATCTGCTTTGTTAACCTAAGCTTACTGCGACAGAAGAAACATTACCTAGAATAAATCTTATCATGCATGCAGCCAGCTACAGTACATGCAGCTTTCTCACTTGCATTCAACTTATCAGAGTCCTTTATATCAAGGAAAAAGATTGTATATCTGCTTTCCAGACCTTTATTTGTTTTAGAGAAGTTTTCAGACAGCAATTTAGTCTTATCTTGCTGACCTTTTGTTGTACGATGAGCTCCCGAGTTGCTGATAACTGCCATTATTTTTAGGAAGTGTCTAGAGCTCCGGTAACCGGACACAGTATGCAGTGCTAGAGCTCCGGTAATAGGGGCGTCGCCCCTATATATATACTGGGGCTACGCCCCAGTGCAGTATTAATAATACACTGATTTATATTATAGAAACCGAGTATAAATACAACAACCAGCGTTGATGATGCAGCAGGGTCGTGGTGGTGCAGTGGAGAGGCTTGTGTGGATTGCACGGATAGGGTCAGGGGTTCGAATCCGGTCAGGACTACCGAGTAAAACTATGCTGCAGTTTTTGATTTTTTTTCTTTTTTTTTAATGTCTTTTTTTTGCAATTTTTTTCTTCTTGGCTTTTTTTGGGTCAAGAAATAGCACCCTCTCGTACATCTTAGCCTCCGGGGTCGTAGGGTTGGGATTGGGGTTTAGTGTTTAGTTTTTAGAGCACCTTCTCGTACATCTTAGCCTCCGGGGTCGTAGGGTTGGGATTGGGGTTTAGTGTTTAGTTTTTAGAGCACCCTCTCGTACATCTTAGCCTCCGCCGGGGATCGTAGGGTTTTGGGGTTAGGGTTTAGTGTTTCTTGATAAAAAGACTAAGTTCCATTTTGCACTATTGCGCATGCGCACAAGCTGTTTTACGGAGAAAAACGGACTGCCGGAGCTCTAGCATTGCAAACTACGTCCGGTTACCGGAGCTGTAGACACAGCCTTATTTTTATTCATCATCACCACACCCACATTCAATGAAAATGAGTCTACTTAACTTAAAAATCCATGATAATAGTTACACGACCAGCCCATACATACACAGACATTTCTCCCCTTAGTGGGGCGAGCTCAGGCTCACCCCAACTAGGACGTAGACAATCCTACTCCCCAACGCACATAGCTAAGTCATACTTAATCACACAAAAAACTATGATTATAAGACTAATGATCAAAAAAACAATGGCAACCAAAAAAATAAAGATGCCAGTCACAACCTGCGACCTCTGCGCCCCCCTTTTCTTCGTGTGGAATCAGTAGGGATTGGTGTCACATCCTCTACAAAGGACAAAACATAAAAAACATTACAAAACCAAAATCATCGAACCTATCCTGCCAATTCTCATTCCAGCTCTAGCAAGAGCTCTTAAAGCACTTTGAGCTCCTGGACCAGGTGTTCTTGTTCTAGATAAAACAACACGGGAAAATATAACTAAGAACAGTAACAGTGAGAACATCACACACGCAAAATGAAACCTCAACAAAAGCTTTACAAATTATAGCTTTGTGGCTGGTTTCTACTTAATGACAAAATTTTGAAAATGCACTAAAATCCAATAAAGTGACAAAACTCCAGATACATTAGTTCCCTCCAACTTAACCCAAAACATTATCAAGTCAAGCCCTTTCAAACAAATTCCGGGGCAGAACAATAAATACGCAAATCCAGCCTTACAATAAAATAAATGCCGTGTAGGTACTTTCTTAGGATCACAGGTTAAAACTTTGCCGTTGGCCAAATTTATTTCATTACTATAATTATTTTCCAAGTCCAAATGCCATTTTAAGAAATAAACAGTGGGCTTTTATTTAAGGAAACATGGCACATGTAAAATATAAAAGTTAGAGGTGCATATCACTAGTGGAGTCCCCAATAGTCCCCACATCTGGGGACACAGAGTCCCCAGATGTCAGCCTGCGGAAAGCTAAAGAAAGACTTCAAGGGGCAAAGGTCATATACTCGCTTCAAACTGTAGATACGATGCATTCACAATTTCACATGCATCATAGCATAGATTTTACATAACACGGATTAGAAACTGATCACATGATCCCATTCAAATCAGGCCCCATTTACACAGCAACGCAAAATGCATTTTTAGAATGATACACTTTGAACACCGTTTTTGTTTCCAAAGAGTTCTATCAAGATGCTTTCTTATTTTCATTAATTTCTGTGTAAACAAAAGCATAAAGCAGGCACAAAAATCAACAGATTGCAGTGTTTTTTTTTACTGGGTAAATGCAGTCTCAATGTAAGTAGGCACTGAGAGACTTTGTATTTATCTCTATCTTAATCTCCTTCAGCTACTTCATTGATATGGCCAAGAGAACTGCCTGATTACATGTAGCTGGAAGCAAGCTCCAAGTCAACTATACAGCTTAAACTGTTCTTACGGGAGGTTTACTACAGCACTTAAAATTGTTAAAACTGTGGTGAGATGCTTCATTTCGATGTAAAATGAGATACTGTTCTCATATCTATTCAACCTACATGTATAACTTGCTCGGAGTAACTACATGTAAAACTAAACACATTATAGTATAAGAATAATTATGCATCAAACAAAGCTGCATGAGGATAGGACAGTTACATTATATTATCACACGCGCTAAGTAGCTAGCAGGTTGAAACTTGGTATAGTTGCAAAACAGGCTCTTCCGAAAATCTGTACCAATTTTGGAGTCTCTAGGTACTCTGGAAGGTTCTCAAACGGTTCTTCTGGTCAAAATGAAAGGGGGCTGCATGATGTTCCATGATGTGTAGCTTTGTGAATATCATTTGCATGTTATTAATTATGTCAATAATCATGTTTTTTATTATTAAAAATCAAATAAAGCAAATGAAACACTCCAGGCCAAGACAAAAATTGAACTAGAAGACTTTACACTCCAGACAAAAATCTCTCTTAGTCTGCTGTGCCTCTCTAAGCCTTCTTTATTTGTCCTCAGTATTGCTGGTCAGAAACTCAGATAAAATGTCACATATCTCACTTCTTTCTTTAGGTAAAAGCAAGCACAAAAATTCTTCACGTCAATTGCAGGGTTGGTAGTGACGAAAAGAGGAGAAAAAACAAGTTACAACAAATAGAAAAGAGCATAATAAAGTTTTCAGCCATTTTATTTACGTGTGGGTGGGGATACATGTGACGTTTTAATGATTAAAACATCCAGTTAAACTTAACTTAAACCGACTATAAAAGCCATGAAGTGCCAAAATGTTGTCTTCAGAGGCCCATCTATTCAACAACTATCTTTAGATAGAATAAGAATGAAGAAAAAAGGACCAGACAACACAAAAGTTCGGAGTCTTTGACATGAGGATAGGCTATAAACAAAGCCATAGACCTAACAGTGATAAAATAATAGCACTATTACATTTACACATGTAATTTGTGCCATTACAAAGGTAATTTCAATGATAAATTGGGACCAAGAGAGGCAACAATTTTTTGAGCAAAACTATGCTTAACTGTCACTAAGAACAGTCCTGAACTCTCAAGACCTATCTGCTCATCATCAATAGTAAATAAAACTCAAATACAGTTGGAAGCTTGGAGAAGAGCTTGTGTAGTCCTTCCATTGCTTTTCCACCAATACAAAGTCTGTCCCTGTGACCCTGTGACGTCATCAGTTTCCAATCCATGTTATGTAGTTATAAAATCTGCAATCATATCCACTCACAGGGTAATTCAGAAGTCGAAATGACATGCAGTCATCAATCATTTTTAAAGGAAATCAAGCTCCTGACTGTTTTACCCTATTAGTCGTATGACCAATAGTCAGTACTATAAAATTTATATTACATTTTAAAAAATTCACTTGTCTACAAGGATCAAGCAAATGGCAGTTAAAAAAGTAACTGACAATATATTCTGGATCACCACAAAAAGCTAAAATATCATCTTTTATTAGCTGGAAGTGTTCCACTTCTTAGACAACACTGATCGTGGAGTATTACCAAACAACACTGGTCCTGTAGCAGCTCCGTCTTTTGCCATAGTAAAGTAGTCAATTTAAGTTGAATTAGAACAGGCACCACCCCTTTTAACTTTGTAGTATTAGTGCTAGAAAACTGAAACTTCGTATACCATAGGGTACTTTTTCGAGGGCGGTAAATTTCACAGATTTTGCGATTTTCAAGGATTCACAAGAAAATGATTTTGCGAAAACCAAATTATCAAGGTACAAGATGGCAAGCGGAATAAATTCGTGAAAATTAAATCTGGAAAATGAACGTGTAGATTTTTATGTCAATGTGCGAAATTACAGTCCTCAAGAAAAAGGTACCCTGCAAGAGATGCAAAACGTATTCTTCCGAAATCTATACCAATTTTTGGGCTTCTAGATGTACTCTGCAAAGATCTGAATAAGTTCTTTCGCTCAGGTTCAGTGAAGTGAAATAATAAATCATTACAGAACACCCATAAATATCATTTCTATCTCATTAATATTGAATGTTTTCACTTACTAATAAAAGCAAAACAGAAAGGTCTAGAGAAGCTGGTACTTAACTACATTGTAGCAGGCTTTACAACTGAAAACATTCTGATATATCAGTTTACAGCCTTTTTGATTCAAGTTACTCTTTATCACTTCCAACCTAAGTTTATATCTTCCGTATCCGCAGTCAAGTCAATAATAATTAAGGGCAGTAGCATATAAAGTAATGATAAATCCATATTAAAAGTCTAGGAAGAAAAGAAATTCTCAATAAAGCAGCTTGCTTTAACTGTGTCACCATTTTGAGTTGGCTATCTGACGTTTTGATGATGTATAAGTTGACTTACTTCCTGTGCCAACTCAAATAAAATTGACATGTTAGGGTGAAGCTTTAAATTAATAACTAATTAACTAATAACTAATTAAATGTAAAGAATTAGTGGTAAAATCAATAGTGAAATGATCACATATTAATTTGAATTAGCCAAATATTGAATATCAGTATCAGTACTTCAAGTGAGTAACGACAAGAGTACATAATATAAAGAGAGTATCCAACAGCCCTATAGCAGACTGCTGCACGAGGGCGTATTTGCTCAAAGTCACAATCCGCATACTCCAGTATACTTACCATATCACGTCATCAACCATGTGGCAACATTATCTGGCCCTTAGCTTTTAAAAACTTGGCAATCTCTTTCAATACAAGAAAGGAACTTGAAAGAAGGCTGGAAAGATGAACTACAAAGGCAGTGCCACTAGTATCCAGGAGATTGTACCCCAAGCACTTGCCAACTCCTGACAATGGCAACTCAATGTCTAAGCAATACAGTATAACCTCGATTATCCGGACCCCTTTGTCCATCAGGTGGTCCGGATAAGTGAAAAGTCCGGATAATTGAAATGACCTTTAAAACCTTCATATACTTACTCCAAAGAAAAGCTAGAGCCTTAATCATCCATAAGGAGGCTAAACCCAAGCCTTGTTACTAGTAGAAAGCCATTAATCAGCAGCATTCCAGTGCTAAACACGCTACTCCGTGTAGAAAGCAGCCGTTTTATAATACCATATACTCTAATTAAGTGAACTTAAAGTACCACGTGATCGCTTCCGGTCATGATTTCAGAGTCCGGATCATCGAGAATCCGGATAATCGAGGTCTGGATAATCAAGGTTATACTGTAATTATATTCATTGATAAAGTATACTGGAGTATGCGGAATGTGACTTTGAGCAAATAAGCCCTCATGCAGCAGCTTGTATAGGGCCATTCGATACTCTCTTTAAATATTATGTACTCTTGGTAACGATTACTCACTACTAAAAAAAATACTGATACTTATATTCAATTAATGGTTTATTCAAATGTATATTCAATAACTTCACTATTTACTTCAACACTACTACATACACTACTGAGCAATTCTTTACATTTACCATACCCATGCAATACTAAAATTACTAATTCAATCATAAAATAAATGCATATTTGGCCTTAGTTTTAGCATAAAGCTTTCTGAAAGTTAAAAAATTACATTACTAATATTTTTTATTATACTACAATGATCGCAGTAGTACTTAATTGATTTAGAGGTGTAGCTACCAGTTCCCAAATGTTTCACCCAAAACTGGTAGGTCAACTAGTAATTAGGGCTAAAACAAATAGTATTTTTTACTATTAATTTGAATAGTTGGAATGCTAAACGAACAAATATTTAAATAATTCAACTGTTATTGCTGAATGATTACAAACTAACTTTTTCATGTTAAAGGGTAACTGCAGTGGTTTTTTTAGGTATTTATTTCATTGGCTTAATGTGATTGCCTGAACTTTTAATTAAGTGTAAGAACTCCCATTGTTCAAAAAAATTATTCACTGAGATATGAGCTTTCAAAAATGCCTTAATTGCTTCATGCCATCTTACTTCCTGTCAGTGGGTGTGGCTAAACGTGACATCATTTTGGTATGGCTAGTGATTAATCCATCCTTTATAGGGGGAAATAATTCTTTATTCTCATGCCTAGTAATGTAATAGCACAGATTTAAAGATTGGCATCATTAGCCCTCTTAAGGCTGGTTTACATAAAACGGATTGCTTTTCGTGTGCTTGCGTTGCGACCGGAAGTGCTGTAGAAACAAATGGGGATGCACGTCAAAACGTCAGGATAGACTCGCAATCTATCCCGACGCATTGACGCACTCTGTCATTTGTTTATACAGCACTTCCGGTCG